CACAAAATACACTCGTGTGCGCTCAGAAATAACCACAATTGCGGTAGTCCAGCGTGGTTCAATGCTAGAGCTAGTAAGATGCTAGCAATAAGGCACATCCATGTGCTCACAGTTGTAATAATGGCGGACGCGGGCTCGACCCAGCCCTCCGCTCCCTGGATGTGGAGTTAGGATATTAGAGACTGCTGACTCGACCCGTACCGGCTATGGAGTCGGGTAGCTCTTGTGTCCTACTGAACCGTGTTGGCCACCAATTCATAGTTGGCAGCAGGCACAGGTTACTGCCTGGTTGCTGGCTCTGACATAAATGAAGATTTCACAGGTCAGAGCTGAGCCATTCACGATTCACACCCCCAACCTCTGCATCATGGGAATTTCGCGTGTGGGGATGCTTCGCAGCACCCGCAGAAGGTTTTGCTTGAAAACATACTTTACATGATGATAGATGTGAGTAGACATCCTTATCCATAGCTGGCCAGTAGTAATGCTTGGACAGTTCGTGTCGTATCTTGGGAGCTCCTGCATGATTGAACTCCTCGTGAATGTCGGCAATAAGACGACCTCGTTTGGATCGTCGAGGAATAGGAACAGTAACCCGATAGCCGACATCAACAGGGACATAACTTCGGTAAACCAAACCGTTCTTGGTCGATAATTGCACATGACAGCGTTGGTATTGTTGAGGAATTGGTGGTTTATGAGCAGAATCTGCTCAGCAGATACCAACTGATATAGAACCTTTAGATCATGATCGTCCTCGTAGTCGGCAGGGACGTCAGGCGAACGAGAGATAGTAGCTAGACTCTGTAGGATTGGAGTACCATGTGAAAACCTCATCCAGCTGCGGGGAAGCGATCCATGACTGCCTAGAATCTAGGCCCTAGATAGATGATACTATCATCATGATAGTCAGCACGTGAATTCTCCTCGGAAGTTATTAACTTCAATTCAAACTTAATGTCGTTCCCGTTGGGAACTTCTCAACGAAGTACTCGACATGCTCACGTATGGCATTAAGCAAACGATTTATTGCTTGCGTTGCGACAGTTTTGGTCTTGAGAGTTAACGGAGAACCTTTACACCAGCGATATACCGTACTACTATCGACGTAAGCTGTAACCAAGGATATGAGAAGACCTCGTTCTTCATGCCAAGTAATCAGGGAACTGAGACCTTGAAGGTCTGACCTTCAGCCAAGCTTCGAGCTTCTTTTCTATTAATATGCCATGTCAGTTCTCGCTGAGACCAACTCCGAGACACTTCTTCGAGAGGGACTCCACCAACAAAGATAGAGTAGCCAGAGGCCCTGGGCCTCTGGCGATCTTGATTCCCTCGTAGGGCGTCTGCGAGGGCTGCAACTTGACGTCTCAGTTCCTCGATCCCCTCACGCAGCGTGAGTCACGCTCCGAATGGATAGCAGACTTTGTTGAGGGCGTCGTGGTAGCTCCGATAGGGGCTCGAGAGGAATCGTATGACTGAGTGGCCATCTCGATACGAGGCTCGTATTACGAGCTTGATAAGCGAGATCTTCCACCTTAGTAAACTGCATTACACGAAGCCTTGACGTCGTCAAGTTGACGATATATTTGGAGGTAGAGCATCCAAAACCTTGAGAATCATATCACGGTGGTAGCTCTCGTTGGCATCAACCTTGATGAGATCATCAAACTTGGGCAGCTTCTCAGGAGAAGTAGTAGCCAAGTCAGGAGCAACAAAGTGTGCTTCAAGATATAACTTGTTCTGAACAAGTTGTTCAACTCATAGATGAGGGTGTCAACGGACTCCCCGCCTCCAATGAACGGTCTCGAAGGTTAGCAGCGGCCAAGTAAGGAGGGCATAATGAGGCGACAGAGCAAAGCAACTCGTACCGCATTATAAGAAACCTGGACCATGGGATCCAAAGAAAGATAGACATACAAAGCACGGCCAATGAGACAAGTCGATAGATTGTAACAAGCTTTGGACTCATCCCACCCGCTGGCTTTTGCACAAAGACCATACCTTACAGGAAACTCCACTATAGAACCAGTAGGGGTTCCACCAAAAGGTGGGGGAAGAGAAGTGTGGACACCAGTAGTAGAACAAGGCGTAGTAGAAGACATTCCTGGGTCTGGGCACCACTGTTAATGTACTTGAACACAAGTGGGGAAGTGGTGGAGTTATGAATTTGGTTTTGATCTTAATGTCTACGGATAAATAGTAAAATACGCTTAATGATCGATGAGCGATATATACAGCTGTGACACAATTAATGTCCCTTAACAACAAGATTGTGGACGGATATACTCGAAGTCGTGATCGGGTCGTCGATTGATACTATAGGTAGTCGATGCTAGTGACTCTGGCAACACAATCCAAAGGGTAGATACGGGTATAAGATAATACTTAGCAGCGGTCGACAAGGTTGGCAGGAGTGCCAACAGTAATCCTCAAAAGAATCTCTCTAGAGACTCTGAATGCAATCGATCGTTTGACGCATGCACACGTTAGCTACGGATAAGGCTCTCGCGCTCGCCTTATACTGTCTATTCCGCACAGGCAGGGCCGCACAGGCGGACGACAACAAAAAGGTAGCTGACAATGGCCGAACGGAGTCGATTTACATATAGCGAACAATCGATACAGTGCAGCTAACAGACTGGCCAACAGGGGTGGGCAGATCCTCCTACCACATCTCGTCCCCTGTAAATCTGGCGCAGTGAGGAAATAACGTAATGAAAAATCAAATGGCAGCAGAAATAATCATCTAGCTAGCAGTGGATAGCAGCAATAACTGGCCACAGGCTGTGTACAACAGCTAAGGGCCGACAGACTTATAGCGATTCAAAACCCAATTGGACACGTCCTCGAGCTCGATCTTAGGATCCCACCTCCACCAGGAGTTCAACGAATACGGGCCAGCCAACTGTTCACGACACAGCTGGCGGCGGGCGTCATCAGTCTCAGGTGCATAAAACCATTCGTCAGGCTTGATGTCGGAGTAGACCTCAGGCCAAGGGAAGGCTTCTTCGTTAGGGAATGGCTGTACTCCCTCTCTTGCGCGAACGGCCTCGTACTTGTAGATGTGCTGGACTAGGGCTTCAGGCTTACGAGGACCACTATCACGACCAAGCTCATCCTTCATCACGGGCAGAAAAGCACGAAGAGAACGGGCAACGAAGACCATACCATCGGGCCGGAGAGGCATAACCCGGGCCAAACGTTGAACTTGATGTAGAGCTCGCTCGCAATGACGCTGACAGCAACATAATACCGAGCAATCATTCCTTACCGGGCCATCTATGTGCCCTCCTTCACAGTGGTAGAAGACGGCTAGAGCAGGAACTGAGGCAGATCTCAGCCATCTCAAAATACCGTTGGCCGCAACCAAGTAAGGCTCGGGCCAAACGTTACCATCCTTCCTCCACACTCTCGGGCCAGCAAGCAGCTCACTAAGGAAGAGCATCTTGCCAGAGACATCACAGCCCCAAGCGGGGATCTGGCCGGCACATAAAGGGTGGTTGATCACCAACTCAGCGTCTTCCGCTAGACCTCTACAGGCAGATGGGAAACCTTTCCAGAAATCCTTAAGGTCTTCAAGCTCGGTAGGATCCGTGACCTTAATATCGTCGTCGTATAACCACCACACGTCTCCACGACCAGACCGGGCCGAAGAGCGTGCGACTACATCATTAAACCGTACATCAGGCCGGGGTTTCAGAGCATCACCCCAGCCAGGGTGAGGAACACCAGCTCGTTGCAGAACTTGATCAGTGCTCCAGTCAAAATCCTTGGAAGAACGTCTTCTAGGCGAGGTAATCGAAGCCACAGGACAATCTTCGGAAGAACGCACCTCTAACGAACGCTTCTCCAAACCGTCATTTTCTTTCTCGAGGAGCTGGTCGTTGACTACCGATCTCACCGTAAGAGTTGTCGAACTCATACAGGCCAGTAGACCTTCGACAGGGAACATACGGGCTTGCTCCCAAGCTCCAATCTCTTCCAACAGGCTGGAGACAGCGGTCGCAACTTCAGGTGGGACTACGAACACGAAGGCCGAGGGGCTCACTTCTTCCTCTAGAACCTGGCGGAAACTTTCGACCGTATCCTTCCATACGTCCCCAGAGACGGCAGTAGACTCTGGTGAGGAAAGTGAGCTAGGACCATCCTTGGAGCAGGCCGAATCCCCAGTAGTTCTAAGAGGCGTGATCGGCCCGTGAAACCCTTGGGCCGAGCCCCGGTCCATAGTCCCAGACAGCGGCAAATTACGTCTCGGAGAAGGCTTCGCAGTACGATACAGTTCACCCAACAGGTCATCCAATAGACCGCTGGACGGACACGTAGCCTCCACAAAGACAAACGGTGGGTCACCTTCCACGACAACAGATGGCCAACGTTTAGTACGACAGCGTTCAAAGACCATCAAACTGCCATGGCCAGCATGAATATATACCAAGTGAACGTCGTCCGAGCCGTCGGTAGGGGGAAGTCTCCCCAAACAAGCACTGTCGACCAACCAAATCTCGTCGTTGTCGTGGTTGACCAATACCTCATCAGATGTCATCGTCCCTGACCAGTGTCGAAATCGGCACCAATCCTGGGACAATTCGGTTCCCGAAGGAAGTCAGATGAGTGCAATTCATCAGAAGGCCAAAATCGGGCCTTGAATCGAGCTTCCCTAATAGCAGAGGAAGCAACACGGTTCCCGAAAGAACTCATCAGGAGGCCAAAGTCGTGACCTTTAACCAGGCATCCCGAATATCAAGGGACGCAACATACTCAGCCATCGCTCCTATCCGGGTCTCACGTTCCCCGAACAGTTGCTAAAGCTAACACAAACTACACACTGGCAGTCGACGAATCACGCCGGTTGATCAGGCCGACATAATCCGCGACAAAATCCCAGCAGCAGTAAAACGTCAAAATGATCAAAATAACGGGGCCCAAATCGAATACATGCATGCAATAACAACAACAACTCAGCCGGCTCTACACTACACTACATTCTCTCCTCCCTCCCCCTACTCAGAGCCACGAGTAGGCATCTGAGTAGTCGAGGAAGAATAGGAGCCATCCTGGCCATAATGGTCAGGACTGAAAAAGGTCGTCTGATACCTAGTTCGTGCTGAACGTCGAGAACTAACCTGACCAATCTGGCTAGTTTGAAAGCCGTTGGCATCATCGGGGATCATCGTCGTGGTCGGAACCAGTCCGACCTGAGGATTACCTCCATCATGAGGACAGACAGCAGGGTCCTGTGCAAAAGGTGCAGGGGGGAGCACAGCGTGACTCTGCGGAAAATTGTTACCCTCCACGGCTATCTCGGGGCCGTGTTGGATCAGGGGGTGAGAATCGTCGTAGTCAATCTCGGCAACCTCTGAAGTGTCCTCTAGGGCAGTATACTCTGAGCCCCGGGGGCTTCCCAGAACACATGTAACAGAGTGGCGATCATCGTTGCTCTCATGAGCAACAGGAGCAGCATTCTCACCCTCAAGGTTTAGCGGCTGGAGTGGCACTTCCAGCGGAGACTCCAAAGCTGGGAGTCTCGAACCATCGGGCTGCACCTCTGGCAGGTCAGCCTCTTCAAACAGAGAAGGATGCCTACACGGCTCCTCCCCAGCATCATGTTGTTCGACCGTTGGGGCAACGTCATAGTCATCAAAAACCTCAGAAATAGGCTCATACTCATCGTTAATCGAGGAAGCTTCTTCTCGGGGTGCAGGTGGTATATTCGGGGCCAAAGAAGGTGGCGGTTCCGGTCTTCCTCGGTCGTCCCCAAACGGGAACTCGGGAATAGTCGGGGCTTCTCGTGCTGGAGTTGGTCGTTGACGAGCAATACCGAGTTCGGCCGGGACATGCTCCGGTTGCAGAGGGTCGTTGATCACATGATCAATAGAGATGACTTTCTCTGCCATATCTGGCCATCGACGTAATACCACCGTCTTTTCATTCGTGCCCGGGACAAACTTCAACACATACCAATTAGGTTGCCAGCGAGGCAGGAGCTTGTGACCGGGAATCGCCGTTCGGAATATTCTCAGCATGACCCGTTGACCGACATAGAATACACGTCTCTGCTGACGACCAGCCCTAGCTTGTTGACGATGGGCTGACGAGCGGCTGACGACCCACTGGTCGACAATATCTGCTAGTCGGGCCTTGACGAAGGACGCATGTTCGTCGTAGCCTGCAGGATCAAACAAAAACTCTGTGTACTGATCAAAAGAAGGCAGGAAGGAGCATCGAGACTCCCGATTGAACATCAAGTAGAACGGGCTATACCCCGTGCTGCTGTGCACCGAGGTATTGTACGACCACAACAAAGGCCGTAACCACTGCTTCCAATTTCCCGAAGACACATGAGTTCTCAACAGGCCTAAAATCGTAGCGTTGAACCTCTCCACGGCCCCATTGGCACATGGATGATACACACTGGTTCTCGCTTTCGTCACACCGAGCAACTGTAAGACTTTTAAGAACAACTGACTCTCAAAAGCTGGACCTTGGTCCGAGAGCAACCGTTGAGGAGGGCCGAAGATAGAAAACAAATGCAACAAACATCTGGCTGCCTCTTCGGCTGACTCTCCTCTCACAGGATATGCATCAGCCCATTTCGTGAAGTGGTCTACCACCACCAGTAGCTTGGAGATACCATCAGACGCGGGGGCCACCGTGAGGAAGTCAACAGCCACGGTTCTCCAGGGAGTACCAACCGGTAAAGGCATCGCAGGACCGATAGGTGGCCGATGCCCCTTAGCGATCTGACATTCCCGGCAGGCTGCTACATGCTCGGCAACATCTTCAGCCAAAGTAGGCCAGCAACACAGTCGCCGTAACTTCTCCAGGTTTCGGTCTCGTCCAAAATGGCCATCATGTTCGTGGAAGTGCTGCATGAGTGTCTGCCGGCTGGAAGACGCTATCACCGGGACCCATCTCGCCTCGTCCTCGGGCAGGAAGTGAGCCAACCGTACCAAGATACCATCTGTAACATCCAACACATTCCATAACTTCTTGTATGGTCGAAGTGGGGGTATTTTGAACTCCATCCTTGACAGTGGTTGGGGGCTTCGACGTCGCTCCCTCACCTCCGCAATAATGGGGTCGTCATCCTGCTGTCGCCCGATATCCTCCTTGGACCAGTGCTCGGCAATAGACAATACGCAGGCCGGTCGACAACTTGCTGGCAATCGAGGGAAGGGCCACGGTATATCGTCATCGTCCCAGGGAACAGCGGCTGCGGCCGGTGCAGGCGGCAGTTCTTGCAGAACTCGTTCGTTGGGGCCGTAGTCCGTAACCTCGAGAGCGCGTCGGCAGCCTTATTGGCCTTTCCCTCCACATATCGTACAGTGAAGGATACTGGCTCATTGCCAGTAGCCAACGCTGAACTTTGGCTGAATTGGAGGTTGTTATCCATTGCAAAGGCCGGTGATCGGATAATACGATCAAATCTAGAGGGTAACCCAAAAGGAACGTACGAAAGTGGTCCAACGCCTTGAATATCGCATAGGCCTCCTTCTCATAAACAGGCCACCTCAACTGTGCACCAGAAAGCGCCTGGCTGTAGAAAGCCAGAGGCCTCCCTTGCTGTTCCAATACTGCACCAATGGCGTAGTCGGAGGCGTCCGTAACCAACTGGAAAGGTTGCTCGAAGTCGGGGTAAGCCAAGGCCGGCAAGGACGCTAGGCCACACTTCAAGTGTAGGAAAGCCGCATCGTGCTCTTCCTTCCACTTACCCAAGAGGCTGTTACTCTTTTCCTTCTTACAGGCGGACTCTAAGGCATATAGAGGCCACACCACCGAAGAGAAATGGCTAACAAAATGTCGATAATACCCAGCCAGGCCGACAAACGACCTCAATTCGCTGGCCGTTGTAGGGACAGGCCAACGAAGTATTGCTTCGACCTTGGCCGCATCCGGGGTCATACCCTTATCATTGAAGACGTGCCCAAGGTAGGTAACCTCTGAACGGCCAATCTCACACTTATGATAAGTGACTTATCTCCGGCAATCGTCAGGTTAGCTTCTTGAAGCAAGCGGAACACTTCTTGCAGATGCCGTAAATGTTCCTCATAACTCCGGCTGAACACGAGGACATCGTCCAGGTACACCCGAATATACGGCAGGTGTCCTAACACCATATCCATTAACCTTTGGAAGGTGGCCGGGGCCGAAGCCAGGCCGAACGGCATGCGACACCATTCATACAAAGGGAACCCAGGCCCTGGGCAAAAAGCCGTCTTGTGCTGATCCTCGGGCCTCACCGGCAGTTGCCAATACCCACTATGCAGATCTAGGGTAGAGAACACCCTGGCACGACAAAGGTGCTCCTGGACGTCGTCAGGCCTCGGTACTGGATACGCTTCTGTGTGACAGGCCTGATTTAACTTGCGGTAGTCTACACACATGCGAACCTTCCCATTCTTCTTAGGGACATAAACACAGGGAAATCGCCAGGCCGATGTAGACCTTTTGATGACCCCGAGTTCCTCCATCTCCCGAAGCTGAGCCTCAATATCTTCCCGCCACTTATGGGGTACGGGCCGGACTCGCTCCACCACCGGGGTGTCGTCATGAGTATTCACCCGGTGCTGTACCTTATCGCATTGTCCGGGCCGAAGGGAAAATAGCTGACCAAACTTCTCGCAGAGTGCCTGGAAAGGCCTCAGGGGGCCTTTCTCTATCAATCTCAGGGAGCTGTCTCTCCTCGGCACGGAAGTCTGGGATGGCAAAGCGCATTGCACCCGCAATATCGTCGTCGTCGAGCTCGTTCATATCACAACCAGGAGGAGGCCACTTATCTGGGGCGGTCAGAATAGCACCCGTTGGCAGCTGAGTTGGAGCAAACGACCGAATCTGTCCTCCACCAGGGACCTTCAGCCCTTGCTGAGCCAAGTCCTCATCGGTGAGGGGCTGTACCTGGGGTTGGGCGGCCATAGCATAGACGGATCGGACGGGGTCATTCAAAATAGTTTGAAAATCATCCAGTAACCTATCCCACTCATCCCGAGTGGGCCGTCCCTCTATATGCTAAGCATATTATGCTTTGCGATTCCAAAATCTGGCTGCCCCTCCTCTCGAGGTGCGCAAGCCGAATCGCTTTCTATCTCAGTCTGACAGGCCACATCACATCTTCCCCATCTGGCAAACCCCAAGGCTGCCGAACTATTTACGCTTTCCCCACCCACACACTCAAGGAGCTCTCGCCCCCAGTTAATTAACTCCCGACGCCTTCCTGTCTGAGTAGAGACGGTTGCCTTCTGCCTCGGCGAAAGGCTGCCCTGACCGGAATTCTCATTCGGGTCACGAGCCGCCCTCCCCATTAGACTCCTCCCCTGCCGGGATGTCGTCTGGGTCCCGCCATACGGCACGGCAAAGCTATCTCCCACTCGAACAGTATCCATCTCCCATCTCAGCGCATTGGCTGAGCCCAAGTCGAACGCATATGGAGCAGCCGGTCCCGCGTTCCGGGCCGTACTACTCCTCAACTCTACCGGGTTCTGCTCGTAGAGCACGTTGAACCCAAAATGTCGTAAAAAGTCATGGCCCAAGATAATCGGAAAGGCCAACGAATCGCAAACGTACACAGACATGGTACATCGGAGTCCCTTGGGAGAATCCTGGCGACGAGCCAAATAAGAGGCTGTCGCCGCCTCCGCAGACTCATATACAAAGAAATCAAGATTAACGGTGCCGACAATGGCAAATTCGGACTTGTCTACGGTCAGCAACTGACATCCATCCACAGGCTGCACTGTGAGACCTTCAGGCAGCTGAGACAGAGATACCAAGGTGGCACAGCAGCCAGTGTCCACCAAGGCACGAAATAGACCTCGCCACTGACCATGAGGAGAAATAAAATCGGTGAGCAGAAATAGTCCTCGATCTCCACCGATAGGATAGAGGACCGTATCTTCTGGAGGCGACCGCGGGCTGCTTAGCGGCCGCCCTCCTCGTTTCCCGCCGAGACCTTATTCTTTAACTGCGGGCAACTACGTACCCTGTGCTCGTTCTGGCCACAAAGAAAGCACCCTTTCTCATATTTCTTCTCCGGGCAGTGGAAGACATAATGACCACCTTGACAAATAGGACACTTCTTCACCGGCGGTAGCCTTCTCACCCCCTTCCCCTTTCCTTGGGCATCGCCCGGGAAAGTCGTCTTCAACCCTTTGATCTCTTGGATGACCGCCTGCATAGTCTCAGTAAATGCTCTCATAGTATCCGGAAGGATCATTTCTGCGGCCACCGCGGCTTGAGGAGGCTGTTTTGCCTTTTCTTGAGTGTCCTCGGAGTGAGTGTGGTCCTCTACAATCCTGCACATATCTGCTACCGTAGAGGGTTTCTTATTCCTCAAGGCCGTCTTCGCTCCCCCGGAGACATTGGCTACGAGGCGGTCCAATACCATACGCCCTCTCGTCTTATCAGACGATTGTTCGGCCGCGGGCAGTGTGGCGTTGTACTCATCGATGGTCGTAAAGAGCTTCGTCACAAACAGGCCAATTTTGGACTTGCGGTCCCACTTTGTTGCATAGAACCGCTCCAATGACTGATCGGCCACACGTCGGTCGAAGAGATCGAGTAGCAGTGCCTTTCCTTGTCGATAGGGGCCACATTTAGCGTTCTTCTCCCAACACTCAAAGAATTGGCCAGCAAGATAGCCACCAAGGTGGGCCGCCATCGCCCCCTCTGACCATCCTACTGCCTGGCCACAATTCTCGTAACGCCGAAACCACAATCGTAAATCCCCTGTTCCATCATACTTCTCCGGCATAGGGGCCGAAACTTGCATCACGGTCGGCAGGCCGCCGTACGCGTGCACAGGGGGGATCGACGTCTCACATGGCTCAGACGAAGAGGAGTCCTTGTGGGAACCAACGGCTTGGCAGGTAGTCTTGATAGTCTCGTTATGTCGGCGAGCGGTCTCCTCACTGAGGAGTCCTCAGCCATGTTACGGGCCCAAGCACATAAATCGTCGTTGCCACCCTTGTCTGCACACTCCCGGGCCGCCCTCTCACCTTCAGCGGCCGGGTCTACGAAACCGTCTTCACGGTTGAGGCTTCCCGAGGAACCTCCCTCAGGGCCAGGGACAACACCAGGACCAGAACCAGAACCAGAACCATTAACCATCGTACCAGTACCAATAAGTCACAGTAAGTTAACAAGGAGCTGCTACCAGAAAAGATGTGGACGGATATACTCGAAGTCGTGATCGGGTCGTCGATTGATACTATAGGTAGTCGATGCTAGTGACTCTGGCAACACAATCCAAAGGGTAGATACGGGTATAAGATAATACTTAGCTGCGGTCGACAAGGTTGGCAGGAGTGCCAACAGTAATCCTCAAAAGAATCTCTCTAAAGACTCTGAATGCAATCGATCGTTTGACGCATGCACACGTTAGCTACGGATAAGGCTCTCGCGCTCGCCTTATACTGTCTATTCCGCACAGGCAGGGCCGCACAGGCGGACGACAACAAAAAGGTAGCTGACAATGGCCGAACGGAGTCGATTTACATATAGCGAACAATCGATACAGTGCAGCTAACAGACTGGCCAACAGGGGTGGGCAGATCCTCCTACCACAAGATGGAGGGAACGTGAGCGACGCGGCGTCACATGATGTGACGCGATGATACGAGCGTCACTCATATCTCGCCATCCACGCTCTGAACTGACACTGTAGCCCAAATGGGTCACTATATGCTGCTTGTCACTATTGCAATCGCTGGTGTAGCGGTTCATGGGTCCGAGTATCCTCTAGCTGGTATCGACGTCCAAGCCTTCGTGAACTCGGTTAAAAACGAAGCTCTAGAGAGTATTAAGTTGACCGAACTACCCACCCTGGAATCCGAAGATATTCGCGGGCTGCAGGTCTCAGAAAAAAAACATTCTCCATGCGAGGTCTGTCGGAAGGTCAATAGCCATCGTCTCAACAAATACTTCCTGAGCAAGATCGAGGAGAGTTGCCGTAGTAGAAGACATCTCCCATCGGGTGTTCAAGAGTTCTGCAGAAGGTTCATCTCGAGGATCAGCAGGTTCGACAAGGAGCTCAGTGGTTACCTCTTCCAGCAAGTACGAGTCCAACAGCTTGCCATCGCAATGTGTATTGGAAAGGAGGATTGCTCACCCGTTGAGGCCTTCAACCCTTACTTCAATCCTGCTCAGCCTGATATCCTCACTGATGTCGAAGGATTCTGTCCGACTGTCTCTTTCGAGCACTATAAGAAATGCGTTTACGCTTACAGCAACACCATTCTAACGTACTCTGTCAAGAAGGTGAAGGCTGCCTGCTGGCACGTGGGCAGGGACCATGAATTGCATGACTTTTGTGAATGGTTCTCCGCGGACGAGGCGTTTGGTCGTGGTATGGTGCAAGCACTGGTCCCTAGCTATCAGCATGCAAGTTTCATGTGTAAGCAGTACTCGGACCACTGCAGGTGTCGACTGGGTTGAGCGATGCCAACTTGATGAGCAGAGCCAACTTAATCACCTCTGCCTTTTTTTCGACTTCTTTGTCGCGGTTTCAGCTGTTGCATTTTTCTTTCACGATCCTGACATAATCACTCAAGATTGATGTCATACACATACGTCGTTCGAGACATTCTCTTTCCCAAGGCGCACGGATGAGTAAGAAGTGAGCCAGTATGATGCGTCACGGGACGCGGTCTCATCCTGCCTTCTCGCTTTTCCCCAAGCCGATTGCTTCGCATCGGTCTTTACTGCTATATAGTCGGAATACCTACCGGCTACGCAGTTTTTATCTTTTGCAGTTGTAACTCCGCATAGTTGTCTATTAGACAGAGCATTGCCCGTCAGTCCCTATTAATACCACTAACTATCGGAGGGCATACAGAGTTCCAACCGCTCGGAGTTTTTCTAAGGCTTGCGTTAACAAAATGGAGGGCCTATTCGCCAGAAGTGAACTTGAACTGATAATATTACATCCCCTCACGACACTTACGTTCATTGACAGTTCGACATTGACGGTGGTGATAACACTTGCTTCCTCGTAAATTAGGTTCTCGAACATTCAGAATCTGCAGCGTAGGCCGATATCTTAAGTAACAGAGAATGAAGATCCCGTTAGAGATTCCCATCCATCCGTAAGAATATCTGAACTTCATATAGATCCGATAGTGAAGCTTACTGACTGACTCACTTCTCGTTCACGGAGTAGATACCCCTATTCATATGTCGAGTAACATAAGAACTCAAAACTCTCTCGAATTTTCTTGTAACTTCGATCAACTCAGGAGATGGGAAGTGCGGCTCTGTGGAATGGAGAGTTAGAGACCATGGGAAGATGTAGGAAGAATTCAACATGATACAGAAAGAGATGGATGTCAGAAGTTTTAGCGATGTTTCAAGACAGCGGAATTACATACTAGCGCAAATACATCAAGCAGTATGGAATATAAAACTCTCTCCGAGATTCTTGCGATCAACTCGGGAGGTGGGACGTGCGACCATATGTGGAGTGGAGACCACGATAATACGGAAAGTCGTGGGCAAGACAGAACATAATACACAGGAAGGTAGACGTCAGGCAGATGTACGAACGATGCTTAGAGACAACTGAATCACACACTAGCAATAATATATCGAACAGAATGAGAACACGAGACTACCTCAAACTCCCCCATAACTTCGACCAACTCAGGAGATGGGAAGTCCGATCATACGGAATAGAGAACACGAATAGGAAAGACAAGATATAACATAATACAGGTATAAAGGCCAGATGATCGAGCAATACTCTTAGACACCAGAAGTACGTACTTGCACAAAACGAAGCACCGACAACGCAGCTTCTCCTCAAGACCTCTCCTAGGCTCATCTAGTTCTGTTGAAAATGACTGGTGGGACTCCCAGCTAGAACATTCTGGGTCCAAATCGACGATGTTAGGTTTCACAAAAAGCGAAACGAAGTTTTTTGTAAGTGGATGACATCATCCATAACATATGACAGCCTCGAACTCACCACCAGATTAGACTTATTATGCAAAACGAGTGATTTGACTAAGACAATAACGCAGGACTCGACATCCAAATTAAGGAAGATACCACAGAAGAAGCTAACTCATGTACGATTGAATATCATACGGACATTGAGAGTCGCCCGATACCATGACAACGACAAGAACATGGCAATTTGCCTATATACTATCATTGACACGAAGATTTATGAAGACTGAAATAAGTTATCGAGCATAAATGACACGTCCCATACGTACGGCATGATGCTTGACAACACATGAGGTATGCCAACCTACGCGCACATCATGAGGCACTGATCAAGAGAACGGCTAACGCGAACATCGGCAACGAAGATATCGGAGGCATCCGCGAGGCAGTGGATATCACACTGAGAGACTAAGTCACCAGACACACGGAGGACCGTAACCAAAGTATCAGCAAGCTTGTTGGCCTTGGTAGACAGAGGCTCAGCAGCGAGCAATGCCTCAACAATGGCAGGAACGACTTCCTCGTTAATCAACAGATTAACGGTAACATCATTGTAGGACTCGCAATTAGTGAGCAACTTGCATGCGGCGAGAACCACACAGGTCGACTCGTCAACAAGTACTTTGCTCATTAGACCAGCTCTGTTGAGCACAGCCTGGGCACCAACATCACCACAGTCAGATAAGACAGAGAGACCCTCGCATTTGATCGAATCGTTGTAGTCTTCGACCATGTCAACTTCAAAGCTCAACTCCTCAACAGTGGGGAGCTCCACATCATCCATATCGAGAGAAGGCATTCTCTCCAACAAGTCAGCAGTAGTAGAAGGAGTCGCTTCACCCATCAAAAACGATCTGCACTTCTCGTAAACATCAAGGAAGACCTCACGACTTCCACTGTCACAGCGGAAGCAAAACCTCATTTGCTCTTCAGAGAGGAAGAACATTAGTACACAGACAGATGCCGTTTTCCCAAAGGTATCATAAACGTTCAATGCGAGTTTGAACTTCTCCTGCTTAACGGTGATGTCACAGTCCTCGAGTACATCCTCTAGAAAACCAACTACCGAATTGGCAGTACACTGATGGTCTTGAGTGTAGACGTCAACACTAGTGATAGGATAAATGTACATAGGGTCAGTGGGGCATCTAGGAGGGAGGCCCTCGAGACGCCCAGATCGGCACACCTTAGATAGCGACTTGCCCAGGTTCGGCAATGCGATCATATCAAGAGCGGAACAGTCCAGAGCGACGCCTCTAGTGACATCTTCTGGGTTTTCGAAATCCGCGTCATCGTCTTCCGAAACGTTTTGCAGCGAGTGAGGATCCATGCAAAAAACAACAGTTACCTTAACTCTGACTCAGAAACACTCTAACAAGCATCAACCGCTATACCAATGAAATGCCACGTACTGCTCTAAACTATCATGAACATATACGAACCAAAATGGGGACAGTAATAGAATCTCGACACAAGCTAAACAACCACAGAGGCCGACTGTGATAAACTCCTTCTTCCAGAAGCCGAGCAGGTTCTACTTAGCAGCATATCTCTCGCGATTAAGCGTTATGCACAATAAGCCGAGTATAGGGGGACAATGTGAGCTTGTACATGCGTGCAGAAAATGACGCATGAAAACCCTCAATCAATGATTACGTACACATAACACAACAGACCTGAGGCCTCTCGAAGAAAGATAATGAAGTAGGTCATCGTAGTAATGGCAATGTGTTTCAGACAACTGCGCAATGCAGTGATACTTGTTGCGACCATAGGAGCCTAAGAACGAGTAGCCTGGCGCGTGCCAATACTGGCGTCAACGCCGCCAACGATGCTACGAATGAAGTGTAGTAAGACGTTTATCGAACACGCATGTCCGTTGCCCTCTTTGGAATAAGAGCCTCGATATCCTCATCCTCGCTGCTGCTACTGGCCCATTCGTCATCATCATCGTCCTCGTCAGTAGCCTAAGACCAACACAGTAAGACCATTCACACAGGTCATCATCGGTCTACATCCTTCGTGGCCTCCCCTTCCCCAGGAGCACTGAGCCAGTCACGAAGAGCTTGGGTCTGGAAAACTATCTTCGTGCGATCAGCTGTGTCAGCCTCGGACCCCGAATATCTACACATCAAAAAACGTGCTTCACACAGGACACACAAAGTAACACCTACTCGTTGCTCCAGAAGGCTATCAGCTCTGCAGTTATCGCATCAATATCATACAAGGAATACCACACAGCCTCGATAAGAGTGCAGTCCTTAGCCACCCTAGGGCACCTCAACGATTCCACGACCTTCTGCGACGACGTGAGGAGTTGGAAACAGTACCTTAAGCAGAAACTGATAGACACCGAAAGGATCTCATATAGCGACACTACCCCCGTGTCTGTCTGTTGGAGTCGATGAGTGCATTGAATACAGGTGCATGTCGATGGAAGAGTTCCAGACATTCGTCCAGTGAGGCAAATGTTGATGCCCTGAGAAAATGAATATGCAACCAAAAGTCATCTCGTTCGAAATCTACTTAGTGACCAAAGCTTTGACGATGTTATCAAGCAAATAGGAGCTCTGCATCTCTGCTACGCCAAGATTCTTAGGCATTTTCGCAGCAAGATGCTCATTCTTCTTCGTGGCATCATCCACATGCTTTTGGTACGCTACAAGGAACTTGTCAATTTTCACAGTGTCGAATGCAGGCACCTGAGAATAGCGAGTATACTAACTTTCATCACCATCAGTACAACTCACAGTAGGCTTCACTGGCTTCTCCTCTTCTTCATCAGCCCACTCGTCGTTATGAGCCATCTCCCTCTTAGTGCCCTCAACCGTCTCCTCTTTTACAGGGACCTCAGGTCGACTCTCGCCACCCTTCCTCCACGGCGCGAAGCTCCTAGTAGGCTCCTCTCTCCTGATGGGCTCATCGGACCTCCTCGAAGGCTCATCACGCCTCAGGGCCTCGGCTCTCCATGAGCTGGTCTCTCGACGTGGGAGCTCCTCCCGTCTGGAGTTGTCACCTCGTCGAATAGGCTCTTCATTTCGGCGACTCCCAAAGGCATCGTCACGCCGAACGCGATCATCGCGGAGAGCATCAGCACGCGCTGAATCAATAACGAATTGCAGCGACTCACTAAATCAAATACCATTACATGAAGGAACCCATGCTCGGCTCCTAGGCTCCTCAGTGGAGCTCGGACCAGACGGGCGGTTGCGGTTGGCGAGATCGGCCCTGCGAGACACTTCCAGCAACAACATCGATACACGTTCAACGTACTTCCAGTCTGCAGCGGGCGCTGTACCGGGGCGTCTCCATGGCATAGGAGCGTCAGAAGAACGAGGCTCCTCAGCGGTGCCAGGCCTTCTCCATGGTGGGGCTGCCGAGGTGTGAGCAGGTGCGGCACTCGCCCTCCAGTTGTCATCAGCTGAAAGAGGCAACGAATAGAGTGGAATCAAGACACTCTGTATGTTACTGTCTGCCCGGTCCGCACCGCGAGCTGAATCCTCTCTCGATAAGGAACGAGGCTCACCCCTAGATCCGAAGCCACGTGAACTCGGACGGCTGAAGGCGTCCTCGAGTCTTCTGCCTCTGAGATGCCAACGATATCCACACCATGGCAGTTCGAGAGGAGCTCACCGTTCATCATCCTGATTGTCGCGTTCAGTAGACCTCTCGCCTTCACGACGAGCTCGTTCAGCCTCAGCACGCTCACGCAGTTGTTGACGGAAGGGAGTGAGACCACTGCCATGAGGAAGTGAGCAGGCAAGCACCACCTCTCAACCTTACCTATCGTCCGCTCTGGGGAGCCTGCTAGAACCAGCACGGTCCAAATTGGGACGAGGGCCCGAGCGCCAGTTCATGTCCTGATAAAGGGGTAAGGGAAAACTGATGAAGAGCTCGGAATCACCTCATCAGCGGGGTCTACGCGGCGATCCCCGAAGCCTTCTCGACGATCACTGAAGCCTTCACGACGATCACCGAATCCCTCTCGGCTGCTCGAAGGGCGGAGTCTGGCAGATCCGCGCCAGTTGTCATCAAGGTCGCCACGACCCGCTTCCGGATCGCCGCGCTCTCGAGAACCTGAGCCATGTCGCGTATAACACCACATACCATTTCAAGGTTGGCTTCTCACCACTGCGTCCATCGTCACCTCCTCGACGCCACGTACCCTCCGAATCCCCTCGACCAGGCTCAACGTCACGACGACGATTCACTAGAAAACGAACAATTCAATGATGTCGCTATTGGGTATACTGCCCGTGCCTACTCGGCTGACGCTCGAGGCCAATACTCCTAGTTGGCAATAACTCCTCCTTGGGCTCCCCCTGGAAGTCATAAAGCGACATCTTGGTCGCTTTCGGTTTTTGCGGCATGGTTTATCTGATCAAATAGGCTCACCCATAGGACACTCTCAACGACTACCAAGCTCATTCTCACGCCATTGATTACCCAATTGATATTACCTCTGTGCAGCTGTAGGCTTATTACGGCGAACGGCTGCAGGGGCGGTGGCGCAGTGTCGGAAACACTACCAAATGAACCACTGAGAATCACCACTCCTTATACACTCATTTCGCCTCAAGTGAGATTCAATACACGGGCGAGCGTCGGGACCATTCACAAGATTGTAAAGCCCTTGCTACTATCTCAACCGTAACACAGAGTTTGTCCCCCATCACCCTCCTTTGTCGAAGTCTTGGGAATTTCAGGGCGCGCGAAGATGCTTCAACCTTTTAGCTATGGCTTTGAATCGATCAGCATTCAGAGAGTCGAAAAAGATTTCCACATGATCTATCTTGATGACTATGATGACCAACATAAATCACCTTATCTACTTTGCCTGAAGGCCCTATGTAGATGCATTTTAACCCTCTTTCTGAGTTGTTGCCTTATTCCTCGCTTGCTTCAAGCGCGAACGATACTATTCGTAGTGCTTACCTTACAGCGAGCAGAGTAACTGCGGGAAATCCCTTCTGGGAGCCTTCTGTGGCTCTGCCGATCTACTATTCTCGCTCATCTCATTACTTTATACAGTCCTTATTTGCAGCGATGTGGTCTCCTCTGACCACCTCGTGTTCACCAGGACTCAGACCTCAAGGTCACTCTTCTCTCCTAGTCACTCAATTTCTAGTGGATCGGGAATATTCTGGTGTCCGACAAATCGACTGGTATGATTCATTCCCGAGATCTGTATCATTTCTTATCATCTGAATTGGTAGTGAATATAAACATCTCGGAAAAGTAGTGATGCTCTAATCCTCGGTCATTCGGGTTCCTTCGTGCTCGAGGTTCGCTTGCATCGTACATATCATTGTATTACTGACCATCGTCGTGATCCTGACATGTGGAAAGCAGCACTCAATCATGCAGCTCTGCACAACTGTACTCGACGTAGAATGTTCGGAGTGAGTTAGAACCGTCCATCGTTGATGGGCGGCGTAGAACACTCCCACAGCTTGTCGCCGTGGTGCGAATTTCAGTGGTGGCTCACACAGTGATTCTCGAAATGCGGCATTTTCTAGAGTTCGTTTTTGGCACTCAACGCTGGTTGTACCTCGGCATGCTTCCAACACCGGAGTACAGTGTTGCAGCGAACCAAAACTCGATTGTTAACTTCCCATCATCCCGTGACTATCGTCAACCGCCTATGCCAACGAAACTGCATTTAGTAAGTCGCGAAAGTAACATAAGTTCTCAATTGGAGAGTGATGCAGATGAAGACAAGACCATGCAAACATCACATGCGAGGTCGCTGTCATTTTGGTGATGGCTGCTGTTTTGCACACGGACTGGGCGACCTGTCACCCAAACATCAACGGTGAGAAATGTTGTTTACGCCGGATGGAATCTGCTCATTCCTCCAAGATCTTTAACCGCAACGTCTAGATCGCCCTACAAGACAGAGTTATCCAAAGGCAAGCTTGCAAGGTAGCCACTCTGCGTGTTCTATGATTACTGATGACGCTATTTGACAGTCCTTCTCGAGCCGTCTCAAATGCCCCGATACGGGATAGATCAGACAAGAGACTGCCCTCTTCAAGAGTATGTACCCGATGATGCGGTTGTTGAGCCCTAGCCATCATCATCCTCCTATCAGAAAGCGTCAATACTTCCGACTCCATTGAGTCAGTCACCGGTAGGCCCTGCAGCAATTGCTTCTCCGCCCACATCGATTCCGAAGTAGAAAGTCCACCGGAGCTCGACGATGAGGAACGCATTCTAGTGTATCGGACTTAGTTGCACCATTGAGTCCTCGGAGGTTCTGGAGCACGAAGAGTACAACTCCTTCCCGGAAGATCAGAGGCAACCAGAAGTAGCGTTTCCCACGATGAGAACGCGACATTGCATTCACATGTAGACGACACTTGCCGAATGTAGCCACATCGATGTTGACGCTCAACTGGCTAACCCAGTGCTAAGCGCTCCATCAGCAGTCAACGACTCTGATGAGCTCTCCAATCAGTTTCTTCAGAGTCTGCTCTTCTTTTTGGACGGTGAGGTTGATACTGCTGACGGCCTTCGCGCGCTAACTATGAAGCGTATTAGATGCGGGCCCACTCGAATCCATGACAGCAAAGGAGCTATCGACCCTTGCGGCCGCTGTTCTACTGCAAGGTCCACCAGTTGAATGCCAACATGGGAATTCCCAATGACCTGGTGTTCTGAGCTCAGCGCGACACAATACTAATGACCCTCTTACGTACGGCTCACGCCTTTCAGAACCCAGTAAAATATTTAACATCAGGTCTTGGTTCGTGGCATATGTTCCGACCTATTCGGTCTTATGCTAGAGCTTCGATCGAGAATGCAGGACATACTTTGACGCTCTTATTGAGACATGATTTTCTTCCGTAGTGCATTGCTAACGGTCGGTATCAAATAGCATGGTGAATCCATGTATCGTGGAGCCACTCCTCTACCTCAAATGCCAGTTGACGTCAATTCCTGTTTAATGTGCACTGCGTTCATCTCAATGGGAGTGTGTACGCTTAATCAAGGGCGCGGATGACTTCCTACGACCTGATGCAGCGTATTATGCGAGAACAACACTATGTGAACCCTTGTTTCGTTGCAGTGAATCTGCCTGAAGTCGACAAGTATTCAACCAATCGTTGGTCACCAACACAGTTCTCTAAACGGTTTTAGAACATCAGGCTTTCGGTTATTTATCTAGGACGGAGTAGAGTGGTGGTTTAGAACTCGGGCATATGCCCTCTAGCATCCTATAACGCGTAAGTTTCACTCCTCAGCTCCGAGCCATTGCTGAGAACTGGAGAACCGTGCCGATAATAATTCCAAACAGTATAATATTAGTATTCATAGCTTATTTCTATTGCGGCAAATATATTCTTTACGAGGAAAGCTCTCCGATAATTGCGAAGAGAACGACAAACTATACACATCTAGAAAGGCCGTGTTCTCAATAGTCAGGCTTGAAAAACTATCAATCTTTTGACACACCGATAGATTAATAGGTCCGCAGTGAATCATACGTCATTCATATTGCGGCCAGTCAGACGGGCATGCATGTATTCCCTTCAGTCGTCGGCTACAGTCGAAGCCCTTCGCAACTGATCGTCCTTACAGCTCGAGTGGAGCGACGCGGGAACTCCTTCATATCATAGTATTAGGTTAGAGGACGCAGATACCGGAATGGATTAATTGGAAGGGAGTTCTCAGACATTGCTGTTTCAGGCTGAAACAGCAATGTCTTATCATGAAACTTCCAGCTAATGTCATCATCATCATCATTATCACTTTTGTCGCTCGCAACGCTACTGTGAGTGTTTCGCCCTTCATAGATGCCGGGATACTCATACTTTTCTTAGAATCACAGTGGACGAAGTGTTTGCCATGCAGCAACCTGAGCGATGACAAGCTGAGGATATGTGTCTGGCTATACAGACAGCATTCCTTCTGTCAGGCCTTGCTGCTTGGACCTATGTGACTAGGAGCCACCAGCATAGTGTGTAACGATTAAGTTCAATCGCCTCCTTCCAGGTTTAGTATTACTGCCTGTGCTTCAGGGGGATCGGCCATTATCGAAGTGGACTCAGCGATGGCATTCTATGCAAGAATGTGTATCAGAGCGTGAGCGATTATGGTGACAACTTCCAGGTAAGTTAGAGGCAATATGATGCCTTGATATGGACCGCTGCCATTGGGGAGTAGCACTCTACGCTAGTCGAACACCGTCGATGATGTACCTTCCTCATAGTAGCGGTGGAACTCGTTCCCCGAAGAGTGGAGTTGTTCCGTGGCTGAATCGGAAGGCCAACATTACCAGGGTTCTGGTGAGTTCGCTTTCGTCCCGGGCCACCTCTCGAATGATTCGAATGCTCGATTCGAGTCGAATCGAGCCTCTCGAAGCTTGAGCACACGGACGAGTCATCCGCTATGACTCCTCACACTGTGAGGCTCACAGAATCAGGAGGCCCTTCCCTTGATAGGCTAATCTTGGTCTTCACAGAACTCCGACACAACACTGGCAAGTTGTTCAATACATGGATGCTTCAACAACAACATCAAACCATGCGACAGCTATTTATTTTCCAGTAACACTATCTTGTGCTCAGCGTAATCGACATGGGTACTGTACGCCCTGAAGAACGGTATACCCAAAAGATTTCCTCCTTCGTGCACTCGAACGGTCATCCATCCAGGTCTCGAAATAGTACAGTAATGCTTTGGACGTATCCTGATAGGAATTGAATTGAGATCGTCGCCAAGTCTCAACTGTATGATTGGTACGGTGTAATACAATCCGGCAATCGCAACTTTTTGCTAATATTGCGGATTTGCCAAATGCTATAATTCCTGACAGTCTCACTTTTTTGCTCGTTTGTATGTGCTGCTTTCTCAGTTACAAAGTAGCAACCACATTCACAACCTAGCAATTTCTGGTATAGGTTTTAGCAACCAAATGTTGAAATTAGCAAATCCAAAAGTGTTTTCCAGCAAGTCGCTCTTTTTTGCTCTTTTTTTGCTGCATTGTATATTTCCCCGGAGTGTTTTACACGCTGGCACTTTTGCCCAAGTGTGCTTCGCCCGCACGTTTTCGTTATTTTGGCAAGTTTTGCTCATTTGCTGTTTAATATGTTTTGCGTTGTAATTATGTAGTCTGGAACCTTTTAAGGTTTGCTATTGTGTGATGTTCCTGCATGAAATATTCAAATTGGCAGTTGCCGGTATGTGACAACGCTGCGCTACTTTTCTGTTTCGGCTATTTGCTCTCTTGTAACTTACGCCCTGCGGGAATATATACTAGCGTTTTGCTCATTCGTTCAAACTCCGTCTCTGTTAGCGTTATTAGCAAACTTGCCCTTTTGCATTATTCGTACAAGTAATATACAATCGAGCAAACATAGTTATGGGATAGCATTTCTCGTTCGATTACGGTATTGCGCCTCATATCCATTTTGGTGCATGTTCATGCCCTGTGCACTTACTAAGTATCTATCAAAGGTGTCACACCTCGTGTCTCACTTCAAGTGAGTCACTTAGTATCGGGTCAAAGCGTGATACTATAAGAGTGCTATCACGGACCGTGAATTTCACGGTGATGGCACTCTAGTTAGATATATCATTCACTCCGAAGACAGCGCGAGTTATGATCAATGCTGAATACCAAACACATGATTGCTCTTGCACGTCGCGATTGAATTAGATGAGATAACAGTTAAATTGAGTCCCATCTTCGAGTATCCTCTCTCTTTTTGCATCGTATCAGTTGTGTCTCGTGGTTTGGTACGATTGTACGTATTGACGACTCAACAATACCCACAAGTTAAACCCTCAAGTAGGCATTACGTAAGTATTACGGGCAACTTTGACATTCTGCACGAGAAACATTTGCTCATGGGCAGTGGCACTCATCGGAGCGTCTTCGTGGAGCTATTGTTATGGACTTTGCAGAAGTGTCGAAGGATTGTACAGGGGAAACTCAACACGGACAGAATTACTAAATATGAACTCTACAGCCCCCCGCACACAATATTCACTCCCGGGCACCACTAGAGGGCCTTCAAAGAGATACTATTAAGGGTTACAAGAGAACCATATTGAGAAACGTCCAAATCTTTCTCTACCAATCACCGAGACAGCTACTTGTAGCAACTACAACAGCTGAGCACCACTGAGGTGCCTACCTTACTGCGAGTGCGTGCATGGTCGCTAGTCTCCAGTGATGGGAGAAACTACTTCGATTCCTCACGCTCGTCCTCTTTCGACCGCTTCTGCTGCAATTCTTTTGCCGCGTGGATCTCATACTCCTCCACCAATAAAATAGCATTGTTGTTAGGCGAGTTCTTTCGCACTATCTCCTCACATCTGGTACCTCGGGAGAACTTGTTCAGCGCCGGGTAGATGCGGAGTGCTAACTTAGCACTGCTAAGCCAGCCTGCCTCTTTCCTCGATAATTTCGATGTTCGCGAGGGGCGTCTTTCTGCAATGACCAGTATTTGCTCAGACTACCGAAGAGCATATTGGTTCGCATGCAATAGGCCTCGTAGGGATCAGGATGCGTGTATGAAAGTCACGGCATCTCGCATGGGCACCACTGGGGTGCCTGCAATACAGCACTGCACTGCAGATGTGTGATCCATGTTGATCCAAATAAGTGATCTCGGATCACTCAGTACGAGTGATTCCGCCCAATACGAACTACCATGTAAACACAAATCCTCTCCCTCGTCCTTCTGTGACCACGTGCGAACTGCAATGATGTGGAAAATATGAAAATCCAACGAGCCCTTAACGAATGTCAGTCTTCACGAACGACCTACTACCACTTACAATAGTCCATCCATCATTCTCCCAGTGCTGCAACTATACTTATGTATATCGACAGAACCAAAGAACTTTGCAAAATAGTCACCACTCAGTGACCAAACTATAATGCAATGATCAACACAATCACTAACAACCCACCAAGGTTCGAATCTCGCGTGCGAAATTTCAGTTTCTTCTTCCGATTATAAAACAGCAAAAATTTGCTCCATTGCGGGGTTGCCCATTCGTAAAGCGGCAAATTGCTCCTCTGAAAAGTAGCAATTTGCTCAATAGTAGAAGAAGCAATTTATCGGTTTGCCCCTTTTTTGAGCAATATTGCTCAATTTTGTTACATAGTAACACTTCACATAGCAGCAACTTTTATATATTGTAGCAAATTCCTGAAATATAAACAAGCAAACGATATTCATTCGAGCAGTTTCTGTTATGCAAAACAGCAAATTTGCGTATTTGTAAAGTTAATTTTGCTACTTTGCTCCTTTGTATATCAGTCATAGCGTTTTTACACACTGGCACAACAGCAAAAGCCGCAGGAAATATACATTCCAGCTAATTGGCACTTTTTTGCTATTTGCTCCTTTGCTATTTTGTAAATGAGCCGATTGGTAGGCTGCCTAAAATTCCTGGTGTAACTCGCAGGAAACCGTCGCTTTCTTTTCTGTACAAATCGGGTAGTTGGTCAACTTTATAGCCCTTTTCTAATAAGGCCCTGCGGAGTTCTCGTATGATATCGTCTTCTAGATAGGGTAGATAGAGGGCGTTAGAGCCCGTATCAGTCACGGCGAGGAACGATTGAGGGCGGCGGTGTTCGAAACTCGTCTTCGTCGTAAGGTTTCCGTCAGCGTGCAACAGCGCCACAGAGGACACCCACACAGCAGCAGTAGGTCGGTATCGAACTGGGTGATACACAAGGGGGGAAGATACAATATTAGATTTCCCCAGCACATCATGTGTTGCACCAATCGTCAACTGCCCAGATGGAGAATTGAATACAGGCCCTGTATTAGGCCGGAAAGTATAAGACGGACGGTCAATTAGATGATACTTAGTAAGCATTTCGATCAAGTTCTCCGATTTTTGTATCGGAGGTGATATCCACTCGTTCCCTGTTGTGGGCATCATTGAAATGCCGAAAAGCCCAGGTGATACATATCCATCTGACTCGATAGTGGGCTGACAAACTCTGAAGGTGAGATGAGTGAGATTTTGGTCACCCAGAACCAATTCCCCAGAACGACGTTTGCACGCATAGGTTTTATTTAGCCCGAAGTAGATCGGGTGCGGTTTATCGCTCTGTTGAGAATGACGAAATTTATCCCTCGTACCGAAGTAGCAGTCCCGGCGGTCTTTCTCACATGCGCCCTTGCCGCGTTCATGCTCGTACCAGTCGCCGTCGATCACGAGGATACCCCAGAACGCAGAATCCAGGACTAGCTCCATCTTTTGATTGTTAATCGTAATCGGTACGCGACCTTGTGTGACTGGTAGCGTCACACTTTTTCCCAAGTTATTCGCTGCCAGCGCTGTACTTCGACACCGGATATCCAAAGCCATTATGAGCACCATCGGAAGAGGGACTTGCATTACGAAGGTTCCAGATGGTAATGAACTTGAAAGAAGCTCCAAACCTTATTGTCGTCAAATGGCACTGATCTGAAAATTCACTGCCTATCGATATCTGCGAGGTGCGTCGATGTGTCAAGAGTTATGATACATCAATGCCGCTTGAGATCCAGGATATCCGTACGTTGCTTTCATAGATATCGATACCTCACTACTATTAAGCCAGTTCGTGCAATACCACTGGCCCCAGTGTGTCTCGTCTCGTTCGAACTCACGGGTAAGAACAGGCGAGCGCACTTGCACCAGTAACTGGTGAATTTAATAGTGTCAAAATTAAGAAACGCGATAGTCGACGTAGTCGGAGGACTAATCGGAGAGGGATAGCTGTAAAAGACTTATCGTTACGAAAGGAGACAGGGCTTACAGCACTACGTGTCTCGTCTCAAGGGCGAGCTAAAAGACAGGAGGAATGTGTGATCCCCGTGACAGAACGGAGCGTGCAGTGCCCTTATTGGAACGGCAAAATAGGCGAAGAGCTCTAAAGCGAATGCTGCTCGTCGACGTGCCTTGGACGCACCATTGCCGAGTGTCGCACCAGTCGCGGTCAATCACTCCAATGACCCACAAACAGGAATCAATGAGTACCTCCACTTTTTGATTATCAGTTGTGATGCTCACGTACTTTTCTTCGAGTTTCTTGTACATACCAGGATGCCATTCTGAGTATGATGAGGTGGAGGAGTCGGACTCCTGGAGTCCTTGCATTACGGCGATCTATGGGAGTATCGAACTAGAGCAGTGTTGGATATATATTTGCTTCCTCGGCTGAGCTCAAGACTTTCTTCACATACATCCAACCGTTCAACCGCGCAATAGTGTACGAATATCAGAAGTTTGAGGGAATCATGTTCGCACTGCAAAACCCAGCGAAATTCCTCCAAGTCTCTTCAACATCCTCAACCGTGAACTAGCCGTCATATTGCTCGAAACGGTCTGTCCGCGCTCAATCTCGGCGATTGCATGGTGAATCTTGTTAGACAAGGGGTTACCACCGAATAGCCTTCTGCGTAGATCATGCTCCTAACTTGGTAATGCACATTTTATTCAGCCTATACGCTAAGCCAATGCTTGATAACTGAAGTTGGAGAGTGGTTGCAGAGAGCGGCACAGTGATGTGTGATGGGTTTCTTCGTTGACTTTTCACAGTCCTCAGTGTTCCGAACGCATCGAGACGCATCATCGTCCCAAATGAAGTTGCACGCCATTCTAGCTGGGATTCGATCGTCGCTGTCACGGTGTTGATGTTATTGGCGACTCTATCGACGCTGCGGAGCGTCATTTTACCAGTTAGTCACTTCCCGAGTTCGATCCGGTTGGCAGTTCACTCTTTTATTTTGAAGGAGATACATTAGCTTGGATCTATCGTGGTTTAAACTTTGAACGCTCCATAACTATGTTGTTCGTATTCCTATCAATGTGCAGGACTGGCTCCCCATTCGGCTCAGCCGGGGAGGCCCACGGGACAAGGTATATCGCAGTATTTTCTAGCACATGAGCACTGATCATTGACCAGCGGCATTGATCACTCTATCGCTCAGTAGTTGTCCGCTGCGGAATCTATCTGCTTTTATCCATCCCTTCACTAGCTCTGGCTAGTAGCGGTTATGGTGTTTATTCTTGGTCTGATCGTCATAATACTAACGCTCGGCTCAGTGTAAGTCACTAATAAGTTATTAGTAATAACCTGTTGTGGTGAGAGGCTCAATCGTCATAAGTCGTGCATGGCGACTCCATGTCTCGCGGCATTTCTACTCCTCTGTCTATTTGTATTCGCCAGCAGTATTTCTCCTTGATGCTACATGAATAGACCCCTCGTTGGGCATACCTTCGGGTTCGTATTATACGAATCGTATACTGTCGGCATAGGGATGAGTCGTCCGATAATCTGAATCCTGGATGCACGTTCAAAGTTGACGTTTCCTATGTGATTATATTAACCTGTGTTGGTCAATAACATCACCAAGTCAACAGGGGAGTATCAGAGACTTCTATCACTCTGCCTGGTATACGTTCGACACAACAGAAACATAACAACCGTAGCCAATCTTCATAATTCCATCTCCCAGCATGGCACTCGACCGCTCAGAGGATGTCGCTGTGGCACCAGTGGCGATGGACAAGCCAGAACCTCAAATAACAACTGCAACGATTGAGTGAGATGGCCACGAAGGCACTGATGTTTTTGATTTGTACTCAGTCGATCAGCGGACAGCGGCTGGTTCATGGCCCTACGCGCCCTACATACACGAATGTTGAACACCATACACAGGCCTAGCGCTGTGCGAAGCGCAACTCTAGAGACTGTGGTAGAACTGATGGTCTGGCAGCTGGGAGTCACTTCATCTCTACCAGCCTGAGGAACCTGACAAACCCAAGAAGTATAGGACGTATGGTCCAGACGAGGCAGTGCCAGAAGAAGAAAAGGTTTATCAGTTGCGCAGGAGACGGGCAAAGAAGGCTGGCCACTTCCGCATTAACAAGCAAATATTACAGGTCGAACTCAATCGCCACAGAATACGTATAAACTCTCATTCCAGTCTGAAACACTCGAAGAATTGCTGGACGTCATCGCCGAAGCACTCAATTGGTTCAATATCGTCAACATCGGCACCGCACTCTACAAACTCGCGGTGGGTCTTATGAGTTCACGCTGTCTTCTCCAGTCAAACCAGGGCTCATGGGGGCCCAGACTCCACACGTTGATACACTGCTGAGCGGACTGCGACACCGTGTGAATTGTTCTTGATAGTCTCTCGCTTTGGCTGACCAGAGCCAAGCTGCGAAGAGCAAGGCATTCCTTCGAAAGGATAATCGATACATCGGCTTCCTCGATGAGGTCAATGGTCAACACTTCGGCGCCTCTCCATAACACGGATGAACTTTCAGATAGCGAATGTTCTCTCTTATGTAGACGAGCCTGCTGGTATTGAGTCCGGCAATGGTAGCGGGAAGCTTGTCCGGGATGTCAAGTAAGAATACGTGTTTGTCGAGTAGTCTTCAAACGAGGCAGTAGGTCAGCGTGCTTCTCTCCGAAGGAGTTGGCAAATATCGTATGGGCTGTCACTCACATCGGCCTCCCACATAGGCGTTTATATGAGTTGGTAGCTCGACATATAATATGGGTAAGAGAAGATGTGAGTGGAGTGCTAGAGTGTGACACTCCTCTCAGTACATCGACCATTTCGATTCTGTCAATCTCTCCCTTGCCTTGTGGGGATTTGCTAAAATGGATGTCTGCTGTCCGGAACTCTTCCGTGCAGCTGCATCGGTCATCATTGATATGGTACCACCTTTCGGAGCTGCTAAGCCGTGGACCTCCATGAACAGATAGACGCCTTCGAGCCTCACCGGCTCTGCAACACAGCATGGGCATTTTCGAAGACACTGAACGCGCAAGATAACCAGGAGTTGTTCAGAGCTATAGCATCGGTTGGTCTCGTACACGACAGTAGCAGTGTTGAGAATAACCTGTTAGAGCAGCATACAGAAGATAGACAAGTTCAATCTGTCCAACGAGTCCATGCTTGTTTATTCCTTCGCGCTTGCTCACTACAAAGAGCCCCTCGAGCTCTTCAGAATGGTAAACATCGTAGATAAGATGACCATGAGAATGGCAAGCAGATAATGAAGCGGCAGATAAGGTCTATCAAAAGGGGCGAGGTGAATGACCCGAGATCGTTCGCCAACATGGCATGGGGAGTTGCTGAGCTCGGCTTTGGCCCTGACTACCCAGACCTGTAGGGGCCTCACGCCGTACCAAGCTCAGTTACACTCAGATACGTTTCCATCGCTGACTATCTCGCTAGACGACCAAAAATCCTCAACGAGTACGGTCTCTGAAAATGACGCTGACTCGACTTGTATGATGATCTCAGATTTGGTATCAATCAATTGGCAACACTCTGCCTGGCCCTTATGATGGTGGAGTCGAATGCTCCTCAAGTAGAGCGGAAAATAGCTCAGGGATAATAGTAGTAGCATTGCTAGATACGAGTCCTCTTCGAACATGTTAGAGATATTTGTGCGACCAAACAGATGGACAGTGAGTGCTGCTGGTAGCTGTGGTTCATGCATTTTTAAGGTACCATGAGGACCGACTTGATGAACTTGCAGGCGGCATTCAACTACTATAAGATCGACTCTGGCTGCGTCAGAGAAGCTCTGCAAGAACTTCACAAAATTGAACAACAGCAAAAGCAAGAACGACAACTTCAAATAGAAGAGCAACGTCAGCAGCAGGCCGCACGCAGACGACGCGTCTTGGGGAGGTTCTTCAGATCACCGGTCAATCGCTGGTCCATTTGTGTTATAGGTTCGCTTCATGGCCCCAGGCTATTCGAGAGACCATCATCCCTCTGATAGGTGCCTTGTTGGTCTTGTACATAACTCGCAGGTTCAAGCTGTGGCTGTGGAGCTTATAATATTAACCTCGCCGAATGGACTTTCTATTATCAATGTTGTGTTCCTGTAGGAATTCATTCGAATCAGCTGAGTATTCTATGTTACCATCGTTCGACGATGTCCTGATACCTGCCCTCACGAGTCTCAGCGAGTTGGAGGAAAATGTAGCCCTAAAGCCACCGTTAAGACTGTTGATAATGTAGAGGCCTTTCAGGTCAGCATTGAATCGGCGTTGGAACGAGCTCATTTTTTTGTGAGGTTGCCTCTGTCCTTGGTAGGGAGCAATGCTCTCCCAATGATGGTAAGTAGCAAGCGGCTCTACAGGTGTGAAGCTTCTAGTGGCTTAGGCATACAGCAGCACATGGGATGCTGAGGAGAAGAGAGTGCTCGTGAAACAGGTCTGTCAATGAACTAAGCGATCGCTAGCAATGATGTTGCCTCAGATGGTTGAATCGAGTATGTCCCCGGTATCTGACCAAGTATTGCGACCTTGCGGCTACGAGTCACCATCGGCCCCGCCTAACTACAGCAGTTTCCAACAGCTCGAGAGACGTCTTATTTTCGCTGATGGCGCTGTATGCTACCGCTTTCTATACGCGAGTGTGGACTCGGTCTTCTCAGACCGAGACGAGGCTTGAGCAAGTCTCATTCAGTACACTTTCTGACCTGGGCAAGGAGATACCGAAAATCTCTTTCACGCGACGCGAGGCCGCGATGGAGGGGTCGACACCGAGGTTCAAGAGGTGGGCGGATATCTTGCAAGTTGGCACGCATTTCTCTTCCGGAAGGCCTTGTCGACTAGGACTCCAACCACTACTCTTCTCCTCCTGTTTCGAGTCGGGCAACCTGGCATCAGCAACTCTAACGAACGTCTCTTACTCACATGAAGCAAGTAGACTCAATCTCGAGCAGTAGACGGACGGTCGTGAAACACTTTCGTAGGTACTTTTTTCGAAGGCATCCCACAACTAGAGAGCATCGCAACCCTTGAGGTCGAAAACGTTTTAACATTTTCTCCGCGCAGAAAATGTGTCAGGTTAGCTACGACTTGCTCCTTGAAAATGACACTAACTCTGCGGCTCAACATACACAATGGTACCACTTCGCAGTCCGGGTTAACACTGAAACGGAAAGTGCGGCTGTTCACTTCGAACGTCCAGTTACACCTTGAATCAGACCCGCAGAGCTCGATACCCTCCGAAATGAGAGTGAAGATTTTGGCTACTTTCAACGTCACTAACCTGAGGAAGCGGAAATCGCTTTATAACATGGGCATGCGGCCTTTTACGTTGCATTCTGGCAATCTCGCTGAAGGATGGGTCAGCGATCGATGCACGGACGTCTCTTACACTCAAAGCGCTCAATCTCCTGAGCAAGCCCCCGCCGATGGCGACAGCGCGATCAACTATATCTTGAGCTTCCGCTACTGCTTCTCTAGTCACGGTTTGAATGAGACTGTGGTCTTCGCCATGGCGCCTCCACTGACCTACACGACTCTAGTGTCACACCTGCGCATGCTCAGAGATAACCATACAGAGAACGATCTGTGGCAGGTAGCGACGGGAAATAACAGACCTGTCCATGGTAGTTCATTAGGAGCCTCTGGGGACCTCTCTTGGGGGCATGCCTGTGCCTCTCCTTCTGGTCTCGGACTTCACACTGGATCCATCGAGCTTGCCCAACCATTTGAAATATATGGCGCATCGACGTCCACTCGTAAAACCATCTCTACTCATTGATGGCTCGGGAAACTGGCTAGATTCAGGCCCCTGCATCCATTCAGAAGCTCCGTTCCGAGTCGGATTGGTCGCAGTATGTCAATGCAACAGATATGATGATTCAGCGGAGTCGGGAGGATCGCTTGTGAGGAAGAGCACGCCTGCTTTGTTAGGCCCATCTCTGCACGCGACGATGCCGTCTATGCGACGAACCTCCTCCTTGACTCAGACACCTTTGTCCCGGAGCGATAGTGACAATCGAATGAATCACTCTCGAGAAAATGTGAACTGCTTATAAGCACGTCGAGCGATTACTCTCTAGTTGTCACAATTCTAGGTTGGACAATCCCGGTTTTGGAACACACAAGATTCGGCCTCACTCATTGGAGGCCCGAGTAAGCCTCGGTGAGCCAGTTGTGGTGGTGAGTGCAGCGAACAGTCCCCATATCGTTAGCGCCTCTCCTCCCTTCCAATTGCACACGAGCATGGTAGACTTCTCGAGAAAGATAGCTCTATGGCATCGACATTTGTGAGATAACTGCCATACCGCTCCGATGGTGATGTTGATTGTAGCTCAGCGCGTGTTGAGTGCGTACGACGAAGTCGGCCAGCAGTTGTGATAATAGCGAGACAGCATCCAGGGGAAACCGTGGGGAGTTGGATCTGTCTGGGTCTGCTTCATTGGCTTCTCAGCGACACTGCCAGGCAGCTGCGAGCCAAGTAGTCCACCAATGCATCGTGTCTTTCGGTATCAAGCGTCCATCTGGAAGTGACGATAAACTGGAAATACAATTTTATGGTCGTTGTCAGCTCTGTTTTAATGATAGCTCCAGAAAGAACGACAGATCCAACTTATTGCGAAGATCACTGTACTGTCCAGAAATGACACATGATGAGAAGTGCATCTGATTTCTTGCTAGTACTTGCTTTAGGTACTGTTTTCACATCGTACCTATGGTCAATGTGGACGGCGTGGTTCATGGTAATTCAAGGACAACGCTTGCCGGTGTTGATCCCAACCGAACTTGGACCGATCCGAATCCTGTTATCCATCCTGAGGTGATCCTCAGTGGCTCAGAGTTGCCATCGAGTGTGTCAGCTTTCGAGGTGTTCAAGTTAAAGGAGTATCTTCAAGCCGTCGGACAGGAAGTGCTCGTCGAAACCCAACATGAGCAAGGCGACTTGTAATCAACATGTGTGCTTCGTTACAAGTGGAAGGTTCATTGATTGCGAGGTCCTCCGTCCACGCAACGGACAGTATGCTCCACATGGGAGTCTATGGTCATCATCTGTAGGAAAGCTGCCAAGTCTGCCTGGATATTCCTCTGGTACTTCAGATCAGCACGGCAAGTGTCCGAAACCTTTGATGAGCCCCCAAGGAAAGATATTACCAACATTCACGTACGGTTACTCCTGCTAGAGGAGAGTATTGGGATCGTCTGCGCTCAGCTGTTCCTCGATCTCCACGGACACTCGCAGAAGATGAATGTTTCCTTCTATGGTTGTGGTGTGTCCAACATCGCGTGCGCTGTCTATCCTAAACTGGCGTCCAAGGCTACTGAGGATGTCTCCTTTGAGTCGTCGCGATGGAAGTTCGCGAAAGCCCAGTTGAAAACGGCGCGGTCTGTCGCCTACCGCCGATTCGGCGTCATAAACAGCTATACTGTCGAATGCAGCTTCTACGGCTCGGACTGTGCCTCTCCGCCCTACGTGGCAGAGTTTGATCAGACGCGCCTTGCCAGCATCGGAGCAGCCCTAGGGCGAGCGATGGCTGCATACTTCCAAGTACCCGTCGATCATCGACTGGATCCTGTGGCTGTCGGCTGCGAGTGGCTGCACTTCGAAGACTTAGCAGGGGTCTCGCCACAAGCCCTGTTGGATGAGCTACGATTGGTCGCCGCAACAGTGCACGACCTGCCGTCTTCGCTCGCCGGTGATGAGCCCACGGCCAATAGTGATTCTGAGGACGATGAACCAGCCAAGAACACGGC